AATTATGAATCTGGTAGTCATGATATTTCAAATACATACCGGTCAAGATGTCTGTGAAACTCTGTACGCTGGGAAACAAGTCTTTTTCGTATACTAGATGAATTATGAAAAGACTACACTACAGAGAGCAATGGTGTGCTTTGGACCAGCGACCCGCAGATTGCGAGTCAAGCGTCCTACCCACCTGGCCATGCCGGGCCTTTGAGTAGATCAAACATTAATCTCTAAATAAAAATTAGTTTTATTGTGTGCCATCAAGATACAATATTCATGTTTAAATATCCTTTTCTGTCATTTTTATTACATTTTATAGCCAGGCTTCAAGATAAAGTGATGTTAATTATGAGGACTAGGTAAAATATCAGTGTATGTGCACACAAGAGCAGGTCTGGAAAATCTTAAATTTTGGGTGGAAATTCGAGGGAAAATTTAGGAAAGAATATGAACGACTTTTTATCTGTCACTCTACTAATCTTTCTATTTTGAGTAGTTGATGTTAGCATTTTCTTTGAGTTTTATAATCCATTGTATCGATTAGAAGTAGAAAGCATTTTTGTCAAGTATACCCATGTAAACACTTCGGACATGATTTCTCTTATTGCTCTGGGTCGAAGCATTTTAATACAGGATAAAGTTATTAATTGCGAAAGAATTTTCACAGCGAGGTTTATGAAAATAGCTTGTATCACAGGTAACATGCCGTTAAATTGTTACAGGAATTTCACACAGCAGTTGCAGAAAATTAGTAATGATGCAGGAATGCCAATCATTGGACAGCCATGTTTCTGTAAGTATGCTACTGGGCCTGACCAAGTGGAACCTATGTTTCGTTATCTGAAGTCCACATTCCAAGGTTTACAGCTAGTTGTGGTCGTACTGCCGGGGAAAACTCCCGTTTATGGTAAGTTTGACATATTATTGATATGAGTTATATATCATGTTGCAATGTGTCATGGCTGTTCACTGCACTTTTTGTTATACTTAGTCTGGTGTCATATTCTAACATATGATTTTGTAATTTTATTTTGGCAAGTTTCACAATTTTTCAATTGTTTCATATATTGTGTCTACATTATGATTGTACTGATTTGGTGTTTTCTGTAATTCTATTAAATTCAGACGAATGTCAAAGACTGTGTTCTAACCTCTATAGGAAAATTTTTTCTTTTTCTAAACTTTACTTATATCTGCTTAAATCTGTCAGTTAATAGCACATATAAACAGATGACATCAGATGGACTCTGACAAAACATCTGTTTTGTAATTTTAATTATTCTAGATTCCCCAGGGGGGTATCATTTTGTCTTTTAATTTTTCACTCTATGTTCATAATAGAAAGTAAGCAGTATTTACTAAATGCAGGGTTTGTGGAGCTTAGTATATACTGTTTCATACTTGCAGTGACTATTAGTAAACAAATTTTTTTATTTTGCCTTTTTTTTCTTTTTAGCGGAAGTTAAGAGGGTGGGAGACACAGTGCTTGGTATGGCCACACAATGTGTCCAGGCAAAAAATGTCAACAAAACTTCACCTCAGACTCTGTCTAATCTTTGCCTGAAGATAAATGTTAAACTTGGGGGTATAAATAGCATCTTGGTGCCAAGTATTCGGTAAGTGTTGGTAGCATTTCCACCTGGTGTCAGTTTAGTATATATGGACAGTATCCTATAGCTCAGTTTTCCTGTAATTATGGCATGTTGTATATTTTTCATACATTATTTTTAGTTATTCTTATGTAAGTATAGATATTGTATTTCATAAAAATATGCAAGTATGCATTGCGAAGATGATATTTTGTGTTAGGGAATCTTATTTTATTTTACTTCTAACCTGAGTAAAGGTAAAATGTCAGATAAAGTGATTTATTTTATTATTTCACGAGCATACAAAATCAAAAAGTTGGATTGGCTATATTGAAATTAACTTTCTTTTTTTTTATTACCACAATATATTCTGAATAAGTATTAATGTTATTGTACAATGTGCAAGCTTTGCTTTAAACATTAGTTTACATTCTGTCATTAGGCCTAAAGTGTTCAATGAACCTGTGATATTTCTGGGAGCTGATGTAACTCACCCCCCTGCTGGTGATAACAAGAAACCTTCAATAGCTGCTGTAAGTACTCTTTACCGTACTGTAATGAGTATAACATTATCATAAACTTTGTGTCGAGTAATTAGAAGAATCAACGTACAATGAAACTAAATAATCTGAAAATATGTTTTTTCTTCAGACCTTGCCTATGAAAACATTCTACATCAAAATATACATTGTTGAAATAGTTTGCTGAAAGGAATTAATCACACTACATAATACAGATCAAAATTTCATACTGTATTCACTAGGTGGTGGGGAGTATGGATGCTCATCCAAGTCGTTATGCTGCGACTGTTCGTGTTCAGCAGCACAGGCAAGAACACATCCAGGATCTGTCGACAATGGTGAAGGAACTTCTAATTCAGTTTTACAAATCTACTCGATTTAAACCTAACCGCATCATCATGTACAGAGATGGTGTCTCAGAGGGTCAGTTTAGTCAGGTAGGTGAACTATGTAAATTCAGGAAATATTTTAGGGTGTCCGCTCGTACACATTAATATACAGTTTTTGTTATAGGCCCCATTTCACCTGTAGCTTTGAAGTCTGGTTGTGCTAAACATTCACAAGCGAGCCTCGTAAAATCCAGAGTTTGTTTTCAACATTTTAATCTAGTTTTTAATGTTATTGCAGGTTCTGGCACATGAGCTTTTGGCTATGAGAGAGTCTTGCATGAAACTGGAGCCAGACTACAAACCAGGCATTACATTCATTGTTGTCCAGAAGCGCCACCACACCAGGTTATTCTGTAGCGACAAGAAAGAACAGATCGGAAAGAGTGGGAATATTCCTGCTGGAACGACAGTTGATGTTGGAATCACGCATCCGACAGAGTTCGACTTTTATCTTTGTAGCCATGCAGGAATTCAGGTAATTGGTATTTCTACTTTCCAAGATAGTTGAACAGTCTCAAAACAGTTTTTCTCTGTTTTTTGGTACTGGTTTAGATACTGTACAAAGTTTCATGCAGTTTGGTCAAGTATCTCCACTAGAAGGGGGGGATATTAGGAAATATCAGTGACACCTTTCCAGTGGAGATAAGGTTAAAGAAAATATTTTAAGATCTTTTACAAGAGCTGTAGTAATAAAAGAAGGGGAGGGGTTAAGAATTCAGCTGAAAGCTTTTATTAAAAGTGATATCACAGAAGCTTTATGATGTGATATGCAATCCTAATATGTATTTTCTACCTTCCCATTTTCATGTAGAAATTTTAAGTTATTCGTTTAGTTTGAGTCTATACAGTTTTCAATAAATATGTGGTTCAGAAAACTGTTACAATGCTAGAAACTGGGTTCTGATACCCGTGGTGGGCAGAGCACAGATAGCCCATTGTGTAGGTTTGATTCTAGCAACCTGTGATCCTTTGTTGTTCTCTTAGAGATAATGCTTGTCCTGCCCTTGTTTGTATTGTTGTAACATAGCATATTATGCAAGAAAGCAATTAACAGCAGTGTCCTTCACCGATCAGGTAGATATCTTGGAGGTTGTGGCCTCTACTACGTTGAGTGAGAACTAGCTAACTTGGTAGCACTAGTCATTTGGGTGAATCCAGTGCTTCCCGTTAAGTAAGGAGTGATGAATGCATACAATTCTCCAAGGTTTGTGACATTAGTTGGTTAACAGGAAAACATCATGAAGGAAGGAAATCTGCTGTAGAAGGCAACAATCCTATATCCTACTGAAGTATGCACTCATTCAAGATTGTTCTTCACTTTATATGTGTCCACTCTATTATTTTCTTTGTTTCAAATTCACTCATACTTACTCTCTAATCATCCTGATCGATCCTCCCTTTATTAAACTGACCTGCTTAACACACTGATTAGGTTATCAAAATAAACAAAAACAGATTATAATTCAAATTTTTTTTATACAGTCATAAGATTTAACTTTTCTTAATTTCAAAAATATCTAAAAATGTGCAAACACCTCACTTAAGAATACTCTTAACTTCTAAAAAAAGTTGCTGCAGTTTTCAACAAACTAGAATCATAAGCTACACATAATTACAAGCAAGAATTTCTACATTTTCATGCCAAGTTTATTGTCATTCACTGATAATAAAGTTCTTGGATCAAATTTTGAACATAACTGTACAAGCTTATGATGTGATAAGGCAAAAGAAGTTGTTAGTGATTTTTTTTATAAGTTTTGATGTATAAAACTTAAAAAATTGTACCTAAATGGGAAACATCGACCATTACTTGAACGACCGAAATGTCATTTTTTCAGGGTACCAGTCGACCCTCTCACTACCATGTTTTGTGGGATGACAACCAGTTTTCTGCAGACGAACTCCAGTGTTTAACTTACCAGCTCTGTCACACATATGTTAGGTGTACTCGTTCTGTGTCCATCCCTGCACCAGCCTATTATGCTCACTTGGTGGCCTTTCGTGCTCGATACCATTTAGTGGAGAAAGAACACGATAGGTAAAATATTATTAACTACCATTAGAAATAAAGTTCACAGCTTTCACTTTGCACAGTGACACAAACACTTTCCTAAAATTAGTATGAAAATTAATTTAATGTAGTGGTATGGAAATGTTTTTTTATAAATGTGAAATTGATAAAATAGTTGGCACTTTTTGAAAGGGGTTTAAGTTGTTGGATTTATTTCACTTACTTAAGTAAGTGCAAAGTATGTGGTAATCACAGAGTTAGACTGTATATCTGGGTTTCATTTTCCTGTTTGATCTTGTAGAAACGAAAGTATGAAAGTGACAAGAGTTTGTTTTCTGGAAATTAACAAAATATGTAATTTATTATTGAAGGCTTAATTTTGCTCTGTTTTCTTACGTTGTCTGTTGGGAAAATATAGCATTTCATTTGCTCTTGAAAGGTAAAAATGAAAACAAATCCTAACATTTTAAAATGGGTTCAAATCAAACTTAGAGGTAAGAAATGAAAACTTAAAGTTATTCCAGACCAAAGAAAAGTTCTGTATCTTTTATTATAGTTGATTAATTTGTCTGATAAAATAATTCCATGACAACCAACACAAGAGTTTTACTCAAAATTGAAAAGCTTTTGGTCTTCTGGCTGGAACAGAAGCAAACAACCCATGTT